CAGGCCAGGAAAGTAGAGACTGTAGGGGAAAAACAACAACAACAAAAAATTTTGCTCTCTTGGTAAACACTTGCCACCTCCTAGATGTAGCCTCACTGCACTGTGACTCATCTGGAAGCATGAACAGGACTGGCAGCTTTTCTTGTACTGGTCCCTTGTGCAAGTGCAATTGCAAGTGCAAGATTGTAGCTGGGCTCTACATAAATGTTTAACATAACCTCTTGCAACTACTACCTTAAGCCTTGCAGCAGCTGTATTGGTAAAAAGCTAATACATATATTTCAGGGAAGCCTCATGAGGTAAGTTCCAAGAAACCTCTTTATTTTACCAATTTTATCCAGGGCAGTGCTAAAAGAGAACCAGGTGAATATTGGCCAGCTGATGTACCCCTCTGCAACCTTCATTTTTCTAAACAGATTAAGTGTCTGAAAACAATCTCACACCTTTCTTCTGATACACCTTCCTTCCACCCACATCCAATGAAATATGTTTCCTGTTTGATCAAATACCAAAAGCAAAATGTTGCTACATTGGGATCATTCACCTAGGCAGAGCCTACTGAGTCACCGCCTTAGTGTAGAGATTCAGAGCCTGTGCATTTAGTGTGGAAGAGCCATTATCCATATTTGACCTAAGTTCGGGGTATGGCAACACCTACTGAAGCAATACTGCCCTAACTGCCTGACACCTGCAGCCTCCTCACTTGGGCCCTGCTACTTGGTGACTCCTGCCCTCCCAGCTCTCGCTTCAGGGTTCGATACGCTCGTGTTGCTCAATCCCATTCACACACTCCTGTCTTTCCTTACAAGGCATCTGTTTTTTTTAAACAGTCTGACAGGCCTGTGATTATCCAAAACTTCTGGAGATTGATCAACAGAGGAACTGGCCATACCACGAGAATCTCAAAGAGTATTATTATTATTGAAGATTTTGAAGCAAGAGATGCTGGGAACTACATTTGTATAGCTCAGAACCTGCAAGGAGAAACAACAGTAGCTACTAAAGTTGAACTAAACTGACCAGAATGACCTCTGGATGTGGACTGAACTGTTATACATGGTCACTTCAGCCATTTACTTCATTAGGAGTGTTTCTATCACTCTTCTTTTTCATACATCAGTGCATGCTGTTTTTACTGGACGAGTGAAAATGGAATGCTGGACAGGCCAGAGTAGAGTTCCTTATACTTGGCAGTAGTCAGCTGTGAGATACAACTCCTGTAAGTATTAAACTTAGAGCCTGAATGTGTACAAGGCTTATTACGTTCAGGAATAGGTGCTTGCAGGCTTTCCTTGGCATATAGTCTTCTTCCTCAGTCTTTCACAAAGGTAGCCTGCTGGGGGATTTGTGCCTTTTGTGTATGTGTATGTGAAAACTGAGAAGATACTTAATCTTCTTTTTCTGGTGCTGTGCAATTTTAAACTTTTAAAGTACTGTATATGTTAAAAATTAGCATATTTGCCCATAGCAATGCTTATTTTGCAAGAATAATTAAATTTTTGAACATTCTAAAAATGTGTGTGTGCATATGTGTGTATGGATGTGTGTGTATGTATATATAAACATATATAGATAGATATGGACATAAATGAAATTCTCAGTCTCAGGAAAGCCCAGTAATAAATAGATATAAATCAAGGTGTTAGAAGGGACAGGGGAGGGGTAGAGTAAGCTGGAGTTGCCTTATGCTGGTGCCTTCTTACAATTTTCTAATACAGAGTGTACTCCTCAGTACCCATATAATTCATGTGTACTAAAGATAAAACTATTTATTTATATGGTACCATTTGCAAAAGAAGAGCAAACATGACATGACTAGCATATACAACAGTTGATACAGTAGAAGTTTTCTCAGGTTAACAGCCTGTTCAACTTGATTGTATTAATTCACTTAGGAGAAAAGGAAAGATGTTTCAATTGCACACAGCCAGAGCTGAATTCAAAAAAAAAAAAAAAAAAAAAAAAAAAAAAAAAAAAAAAAAAACAGGCAGCTGCCTCCCTCACCCTGGATTCAGTTCCCAGTACAAGGAAGGGCTTCCTCGAGAAAAGGTAAGACCTTGACAATCCCAGCGCTCCCTGATACTACAGCAAGGGTTTTGTGGTTTTTTTTCTTCCCTCAGGCTCAAGGCAGCATCCACCCCTGCAGTACAGAGGTGCTCAGCAGCGCAGGGCTACGGGACAACAGCGGTGGCAGGAGCCACGTTGAGGGGAAACAGAGCCCAGCTACTGCGCGTGCAGCAGGAGCCGGGGCGGAGGGCAGCGCCTCGCGCCCAGCCCAGCCCTGGGCTGAGCCCTTTGCTCAAGGTGATGCAACTGTGAGGGGTGAGCTTAAGGAAGTACTGCTCATGTAAAAATGGCAGCTTATCATAATTCAGTAACGTAGCAGTGTAGCCAAAAATAGAATTTAACAAGCCTGTTTAACATTACTGTTTTATGTTCCTGCATCTTCGATCCCAGAAATACTTTTGGCCTTAAAAAAAAAAAAAACTTAGATGTTAGGCATAGCAATGGGCCCATCATAGAACACCAGAGGCAGCCCCTTGTTCAACTTTCAGAGAGCTGGTTAACAAACATACTGCACTGTTACCCGAAGGACTGTACAGGTGAGACATGGTTTCATATAATAACTGAATAAGGACTCCCTACCACTTTTCTCTGGGCGAGACTTTAATCTGACAGAAGTAACTCCTACAAGCCCTGGGTTTCTGGATAAGGCAGTACCATCTGTTTATTAAATTTCAGTATTTTCATTTATCAGCATAGTGCTTTTCCTTTGATGTGCAGGAGCTGTGCCAACTTCTTAAGTTTCAAAGTATTTTGAGTMTCTAATTGAACAATTAGAGTCTTTAAAATATCTAACAGCTAGAAGATGGTGCCACCTGTTCCAGCTTGTTCAGCACCACTGCTGTTCCTGGGGTAGCATCACTTCCTTGAAGATAGGTTGGCAGAAGAGGAAAAGACAAAGTGAATGCACTTGTGCATCATTCCTGTAGTCTCCCTGCAGTTTAAGGGTCACCTATACACACACTTTTTGAAACTGCATTCTCAGGGGAGGTTTTGTTTGTTTGTTTGTTTGTTTTTTGCATTTCTTTTTTCCCCCCTCTGCAAGCAGCAACATAATCCTCATCTTTGCAAACTAAGAGTATGGTTCAGGAACCATCAAGAGCCTCGCAGGCAGGGCTGCTTGTTCTCGCCTCAGTGCAAATACATGCAGATACTACAAAAATTAATAGTGATGTAGGGTAAAAAAACCCCTGAAGCTTGAGGCAAGAAATCTGAATGCTCTGTCCCAGTCACATGCCTAAGTTAACTAGTATTGTTTTTTTCCTACTTCTGCATGTCACTTCTTTGTGAATGCAAGAAACAAATACCTTGGGTGTATTGCTGCTGCCTTAATCACAGGGGTTTGATTATTGCAAATTTCTGATAAGTGTTCTAACTCAGCCCAGCCCTAAAGGATTTCCTGGGTGTTAGACAGCTGTAGTTCCAGAGTCAATGGCTGCCTGCTGGCTGAAAGGCATTTCCTGCTGAGCTGCAGAGCCATTTACATGCCAGGGTCTTCACTGTTTGTCATAAACTTAAAAACTTCAGTTTGCACATGGAAATGATTCATCTCGGCTTTTACTGTAATTGAAGATTACATTAAATCACGTAATTGATGAACGAGCCTTGAGAACAGAATACTGAAGTTACACTAACCTTGCAAGACCACATTATAGATTAGTTTGAAAGACTACAAACTACTCTGCACGTGCAAATCCCCCTGTAAACTTCCTTTCAGACCTATCATTAGGGCAGTACTAGTATCTGACTAGAGTATAAGTGCCAAGCTAACACTAACACCTTTGGAATACTTCTATAGTGCAACAAGTTTCCAGCTTTTTTTTTTTTTTTTTTACAGCTTCATTGCTTTTCAAGAGCATTACTAATTTTATTTCTAAGAAGTTTAGAGGTAGGTAGTTCCATGTATTGTTAACTGAGATCTCATTTCCCCAGCCTTCCACAATCTATGACCACAAACATACAGATTATGGTTTGGGGTTTTTTTTCCCCCATTCCCCCCCTTTTTTTTTTCCTCCTTTTTTTCCAGCTGAACACTATTTAAAAAAAAAAGCTTTTGCCCTTCCTCCTTACCCGAAAGGTCTCACTGTACTTGATTTTTAGGCACTTGCAGGGCTCTTGCTGGGTTGTGACACTCATAGCACAACTGTTCTTAATACTAGACAACACTTAATCCTACTTCTGTGCCTTTTAGATGACTGAAGTTTGTGGCTTTTCTCATAGAAAAAGATCACACTTCAAATTCTAATTTTAGTAAGGTGAGTTTACACTTTGTAAAGGGAAGAGGGGCCTGGACTGAGCTCTAGAGGTTCCTTCCAGCCTTGAGTGTGTGAGTTTTCAACACTCTTTGCCACATCATGTAGTTCAACTACTTGCAGAAAGATGAGAAATATAGTTATTGCACATCTTCTCAACTCCCTACATGAATGCCAAGGCAGTCACGTATTTGCTTACTGTATGATTTTGTGATGTTTTCTCCACCTTTTCTTCAGAACAACCCTCAGGATTCCCAGAACCAGTAATCCCCMTAAACAAACCCTATCCAGCTTCTGTCTGTCTTAGACCAGTAAGGCTAAAAGTTGCAGTAGGTCAGCAGTTTACTATTGCTGCTCTCCTGCGCTGAAGAGACATTGGAAAAAGGTCTCTTTAGATTAAAGAGCATTTGACTAATACAAGCAGGAAAAAAAAAATAAGCAGTACAAAAAGTTTATTTTAAGGATTCAGCTCAAATACATGTGATCAAATCTCTATGACCATAGAAAAGCAGAATGTTCCAAGATATGCTTTAAGCCAAGTTTCAGCCCACAGAATTTTCATCATTGAATTGGAAACCCTTAGCAAACAAATCAAGTCCTGACACCACTAGCAGATGCATGTACAGTGCCTTAAAGGGGACAGGGTAACATGGTCCATCAAAATGGCACCTATCATTGTACACTATGTAAAAATTAAGTAAATTTAATGATTAAATAGTTGCATTTAAGTATATTACAAGTTTACTTACAGAACAAGTACTGTTAAGAGTCCTGTCTGTACATCTGTTTCCTCAGTGAAGTGCCAAGATTTTTCAAGTCTTGAATAAGATGGTTTGAAGGGCTTGTCCAGGTCAGTTCCCTAATTTTTTTCCATTCCATTAACTCAAGGCTCTCAAGCTAGTGGAAAACACATGGAAGGACAGGGAAGATACTATGTTGCAAAGCAGTTAACTGTATAGCTAAGTAACAGCATTAGCTAAACAGTAGTAGAGCTGTGGTCAGGAAAATTGTTTCATGGTACTTTAAAAGTCAAGCTACTGTCAGCATTGATGGAGCTTTGCAATAGCACTTGGAAGTTGATCCTGTGTTTAGTAGATACCACACAGAGATCTCAGATCTGATCAAGGGAGTGTCGAGTCTTTGCAATTACCTTATTTAAACTGGAAGCAGAGCATAAAACTTCCCATGAAATGCTGACATGCTTATCCTCCAGCTTAAACAGTGGGGACAGCTTTTTTGTCCTTTTTAATAATTTACAGGATCTTTTGATGAACGGCAAAAGATTGATCTTCTGCAGTCAATGGGAAAAAACATGGCAAAAAGYGGTAAGTTCTCTGCACCCATCTTATTGTTCAGAGGGATTTAGCCAATCTTGATCAATGCTAATAAAAATACAAATATTTGAAGAGTAAAAGGTTTTCACCAGCTAATGAAGCTGTATTCACAAATTATGTAAGATCTTTTGTGACACCTCAGAACACACATAAGGACAATTACTACCTCTTCTCCCTTTTTGGCTTTCCAACTCGCACAGCGTTCCCTCAGCAGACAGCCTCTGCAGGGGAGGCCCTGTCCCTGGAAAAGGAGATTCCTTTCAGCAGGTAAAAGGCTAGGTCTGGGCATCTACACCTGTAACCAGACCAATACACACTGCAAGGTCTGGCCTCCAAGGCAGCCCTGGTTCTAATTCTATGAACTGCTGACTGAACAGACATCATCAACTGTGTCCCACAAAAGAGTCTCATAAGAGCTGATAGTTGTGTATGGATATTAGACAAGTAATCCATGCACAATATGGCTGCAATAGTTTGGTTTTTAAAAGTCATTTAAAATTGCATACTAAAGTAGGCTACTAGCAAGTCAACGGACAAAGCTTTTCATGCCATTCTTGTACGGCACTGAGAGCAGAAAGACAAGGCAAGTGCCCTGCAGCACTAAGGGCAGCTCCTCGTGCACTCTGCTAGAAGCATGCATACTGACAAGGTTATTAAGGAAGGACGTGTCAATGTAGAGTCTTCAGCTTTTGTCCTTTATTACATACACAGCAAAGAAGGCAGCATTAGACACACACACACACACACACAGTGTGTTACATCCATTCCATTCACAGCACACACGCATACACACAGCCTTATAAAAGTGTCTGTGATAAGGAACATATTATAAATGTTGTGATCTTCATCGCTAAGCCCCTGAGCTTCTCCTTATAGTTAGGTGAAAGGCAATGAACAAGACTTTCCTTGCTCCATAAGTGCTTTGTGCAACAGTGTCCATAGAGGTCATAGTTAAGTCTTAGGGAGGAGCAACACAAGCATCTTACTCCCACAGTCCATCTTTCATCGCTGTTTCTGCACCAAGTAGTTTCCAGTTACATTTAGTCATCAGATCAGCTAATATAGCTCTCGGTCCTGGGATTACAGTTAGGATCAGTTCTGCAGATCGCAAGTGAAATGCAGTTGCCTGCTCATCTCAGGAGATGTCATCTTGGGGATACTGCAGGACTAGAGAAGTTCCCGGAGTTTCGTGGCGACTGGAGAGGCACCGATGGGGAACTGGGTGACAGTTTTCTGGGGCTGCATAGATCACCATTGTGCAGTTTCCACAGGAGCTCTTCATTCTCCATTGACAGGCGTTTGTTGACTTTGGATTCCTTTTCCAGTGACTCCTGTAAAACGGCTTGCTCGGTAGAAAGTTGCCTGCAAAAAAACCAATTTGCATCAGTGCACACAGTACAGGTTGGAGGTTACATTATAACTTTGAAACAGAGCTTTTTGAGAAACTTTTTCTTTTTTTTTTGTCTAGAACTCTTTGCTTGCAGCTAGGATCTGGTATGTTCTCATGCTTGTTGACTATAATGTGGAGAGAGAGAAGAAGAGTCCTAATAAGAAGCATTCCTCAAGATCAGGAAAGATGGGGGGGGAAAAAAGAAAAAAAGGCATCTGAAAAGTGTTCCTGGGCCTACTTAGGGTGACAGATGCCAACCTGGAGCCTCTCAGCTTCAAACAATAGATGATGTGAAAAGCTAAGACCCACTAACTAAAATACACTTCTACAATACAATGTAAAATTGAGGACAAATCACTAAATTGAAACAGTTAAAAATTAAAGCCAAGCCTCTCTCCCAAACCAGCTATATTGAAAGACACTGTAACAATCTATTTTAGGATGATATTCCCAAGTTGCTTTCTGTTCACTGAAATACTGTTTTGGAGCATGGAAGAAGAGTAAGAACACTTAACTCCTTGAAGTCTGTTCCCTTTTTTGTTTCTATAACATAATGCAGATTTGCCCAGATGTGGGGGGAAGGAAGCTGTATTCTTTTTAAGGACTTGTACCAAAACCTAGTTGCTAATCCTGGTCAAAATATTTACTTTATTCTCCTCCCTCCCAATCACCAGGAGATTTTCTCCTCAAATATCTGTAACCCCTAGATATTTTTCACCTTGAAAGTTCCATGTGTTTGTCCATTCGAGCTTTTAACTCTTCATTTTCTTGCTGAAACTTCTTCAGTTTATCCATTAAGATGGCATTGTTTTCCACCTTTCCAAAATAATGTCACAGATTAAAATAAAATCCAAACATACACGCATCAGGCCATTGACTGAATTATAGGATAACACACGCACACTCTCGAGTTTGCAAACCTCATTACAATAAATGCAAAAATAAACAGAGTAAACTCTGGGTAATGCAAGACTGACCTGCTGCTACATTTTATATTCTCTAGCAAGAAACAGGTGTATTGATTTAACTCTTGCCTAACACTGGCACATGCCCCTGAATAAATACCAGCAAAAACCTGGGTGAGATATCTGCTAATTCACACGCTAGGTACTAACAGCATTTTCACAGGAGTTGTGCACAACAGTTTTTCTTGGATAACAAATAAGTGACAAATTTGATAGCTCCCCTGTGTAATCAGCTCTCCTTGCTGCTCTCCTCATTTCACTTTGTTACTGCAAGGTATTTTCAAACGTTAAGGAAAAACAGTGATTAAATGATTGACTTTCCAAAGGTTTTTAAACTTGCAATCTTTAGGCAGGAAAGACATAGTCAGAAAAGGAGAGATGGGGAAGAGCCCCACAATGGCCTGTGCTGTCAGCTACAGTAGTTGTCTTAGAGGCTGAAGGGTTGAAAGGTTATTTATTTACAGCATCTGGTAATTCCCTTCCCCCCCTCTATTATAACCCAATAGTGACTGCCAGACCCCAAGGGAAACTCACCAGTTTTTCCATCTTCATTAGCTTTATATCCTGCTGATGTAGTTTCTCATTCTTGATCTCCAGAACGGCTTTCAAACTTTCCAGTTCCTGCTCCAGATACATAAGCTGCGGGTTTTTCTGAAAGATTTCCACAAAATTTGCTTATTAGCCTGAATTTCAGGAACAATTTAGATATTTTTCTGCTATTGAAGGAGAGAGAAAGAAGATAAAYGTGGCAATGAGAGTTACTTGTTCTAAGAAGTGAAATCAAGCTAGACAGTTATTAAAATTTAAGTAATTAAAAAAGCAGACAGATATTTAGCATAGTTGCAGCTTTCCTTAGAAGAAAGCACCCAGAATTTGGAGGAAAGAGAGGCAAATACCCCTATGAATCTAGAGGCCCTTGTGCTGTCACAGCAGATCTCATTTTGGGGTATTCCCAAAGGCTCTTGCCAGGGCAAGGAGAAGAAAACCCAAGCTCATTTCAACCCATTGCAGGCTGCAGCAGCGGAACAGAAACAAAAGGCTGTCACTGATTAAGCGCGTTGTGCGACTAGGGCCATCTTCAAGAACAAGCAGGCCTTGTCTTGGGCTGTTCAGGTAAGACTCCCGGCGTGCCGAGTTGAGCAAGAGCTGCCCTGCCAGAGCAGCAGAGGAGCCAGCAGCAGTTTTGGGGGTGTCACCGGTGTCAGAGCGCTGCGCAGCGAGGACACGAGTGAGGCCACACGCAGCCAATGCAACCGCGCGTTTCCTTCTCCTGCACCTCGCAAGGGGCTCTGGCATTTGGGATTCATTTTCACTTCCTACTTTTAAACACAAGTTTGTGTGTGGAAATGCTGCGGTGTCCAGAGAGGCAAAGAAACTGTAGGTTTGCACTTCCTTTTTAACCTTTACACAACAGAATTCAGGAGCTGCGGGAAGATTTTTTAAAATTTACTCCTATGCCCCCAATAGTTAATTTTACTTTTAAAGTTACACRTCCTCTACCATGTTATTCATTATATCTGACTTCATGTTAGGCAAARATTGAAACGTCTAGGTAAGATTTTTACAAAGGGGAGGGGAAAAAAACACACAACTCTACAGAAATATAAAGTGACACTACTCAGACTTTTAAAGGCAGAAGTATATTTTTAACTCTTCAGTTTTATCTAATAAAAATTTCTTATCATGCCGAATTTGTATGTAGCATAGAAGTATCTACTGGGTTGCATTAAGCTTTTTCCACAGAAAAGCCTGGAGCTTATGAAGTTGCCTTCCACTGAGTCCCCCTCTGAGGATGGGAGGGTRTTTGCAGTTGGGTAAGAGGTGCTGATTTAGCAATATTTGAAGCTCAGTCTGGAAGGACAAAGGGGCTTTTCCTCAGTCCCCTCCAGTGCATGGAGCAACCTCCGCATACAGTCTTAGTTCCAGAGGCCTCACAGCAGCAGCAGCCACCATGGGAAGAGAGGCAAAGAAGCCTATCTCAAGGGTTCACCAGCAACGGGCAGGAATCAGTTTGGAAAAAACATACATTGCAGGCTCAAATACAGTGAATTTCCTCCCCTGATTAGGGCACTTTTAAAGCATCTGTTGACCATCTACAGCACTGTGTTATGCCGAGGCTTTCCTATTACCTAAGCCTAGAAACACTGAACTGGGTCAAGTTCGTTAACAGCTTTGTTAATGTTACCATTAGAAACACCTATACGACGCTCTAGTGCTCSAGGAGTATTTCTGGCAGCAAAGTCAGTTAAGCAAATACTAGTCAGCACCCGTGCCCTGCAGCTCACAAGCAAGGTGGATGTTGAAACAGAAGCAAGGCTGTGGCTGCAATAAYATCTTAGTAGCAAGTAATTTCTCTGGATGTTCTAACCACACTAACTTATAAATCCTTCTATAAATTCCCAAAGACAACTGCCTGTCATTCTTGGAAAGCAAACGAGACCGTTACATAGCAGCCAGCTCTGCTCATGAGTTACCCGTGATGCARATGGAGGACGTGCTGCTCTGTGCACTGTGACCTAGCTGAGGTGGAAGCCTCTGGGCAACACGCACTAATTTTTGGGCTTGTTCCCGGCACTGACTGCACACGCTGTCACTCCCAAGGACTGGAAACCTTCCATATCGCACAGGAACCCTGCTGCCCTTCCACCTCCACCCCAAAAATGACCACAGGCCCACAAGACTTCATCTGCTTCACCTGTGAGGACCAGGACTTACCAGAGRGGCTTTTTCTTTGGCTATGTGTTTTTGCTCTTCTGATCGCAACTTCTCGTTTAGAGAGTAATTTTCACATTTTAATTCATCAATCTTTTTCTGAAATGAAAAGATATGGTATAGTTAGATTTGTATCTCCAAACACCCTGCAGGTTTTACACTGTTGCCAACGTCTTAACGCACCTCCAGCAACTCCTGCTTCTCCTTAAAGGAATCCTGCAGTGACTTCCTTTCACACTCGTGGGCGTTCCTGAGCTCTGAAACAAATTGTTTTTGAGGAGTTTTAATACTGGGGAAGCCGTGAAAAGAGAAAAATATAGACATGCATTTACACAAAGCATGGAAAGAACACATCCTAACCACTTCACGCAATATGGACATACAAAGTATCTGATTTATTGCTGGTTCAGATTTGTTGCTCATCCCCTTGCACAAACCTTTTCCATTAACTGTCAAGTTTGAAAGAATTCAAACAGAGGAACTGCACACAGGAAACTCAAGAGAAACCCATGGCAAAAACAAGTTTCTTAAAGGAGAAACAAATTGAAATTGTCTTTCCCAAAGCTTCTATAAACACATTTCACCTCTACACTCATTCACACTTCGGAGATGTCACACAGAAGACACRGCTTCTAGATTGCAGGGGAAGCGTCACCAGTTGTAACGGGGCAAAAGTCTCATGAGAAACTGGGTTATCCAGCAGAGTAGGGCAGGGGAGAGAAACCTCTTCAGTCGATTCAGATRCCAAGACATTAAGAACGGAGCCCTCACCCCTGCCCTGAAAAACCAGCCGTCACCCAGTACAGCGCAAGCAGCGTGCAGTGTTTCTCAACTCAGGAAAYATGCCCATTTAATTGGGAAGTGCAGAGCCCTGGGTTTCAATTCTGGGGTGCTCTTTATGAAAAGAATTTACTTGTTACTCTGTGATTTAAGTAGTCTGCAATTTAGACGTATCTTTTACTGAAAGAAGAAATGAAATCCCATCTTAAAGTGTTCTGAAGGTTTCATTCAATTATGAGAGAACTGCAATCATTTCTGAATGTAAAATAAGCTTTATCCTGTTCCAAAAGAGGGAATTTTGACAGTGTTATTAAACATAGCTGATTGTCAAGAACAAATAAGCAGATATACTGCCGAAGTCAAATTATTATATTTAGAACTAGCAGAACTCAGTACAAACTACTTGCCTGAAAAAGACGACTCATATTCCTTTTTTAGCTCCTCTACTTTTTCCGAGTGGCTGCTTTCAAGTTCCAGCTTAAAGTTTTCATGCGTGACGTTCAAATTGTCCACCTGCAATATGAGAAGGTGATTTCCTCCTCTGCAGCATATGAAGTTAATTGACGTTTAAAGAAGCAKTATGACCACAGCCCTGTGGCAGCAGTTTGAGTGCACGTTTTRGATAGTCTAGAAAGCACTTAAAGGTAGTATAAAAGGTGAGAAGCTCCGTSACATTCAGCACTCTGGGAGGGGAGCCTTACAGTTTACTGATACCAACAGGTTGAGGCACCAGCTTCAGAATTGTTGCAGAGAAAGGTCCCTGGCCAGATGCCTTTTTATAATTCCTAAAGCTCAAGGTGACACAAGTTTCCAGGGGAGCTCCAAAGGTCATCTGCAGGAGTCTGCAGGACATCAAGAACCTGCACCATGTTTAACATCAATATTTGGAGAGCTCAGTGCAGGAACTTTTTACAGTTGCAATAAAATGCAGTTTCAGATTAGATGAAGCAACAAAGTTGCATCATTAGCAAAAATCTGGACTGGTTGAAGGGTCATTGCAACAGGAAGCAATTACTAGGGAACATTTCTACTTCAAGTGTCACAGACCTACCTGCTCTTGGAGCTGTGCTTTGTATTTCTCAGCTTCTTCAATGCAGATGCTTTGGAGTTTCTCACATTCTGCAGTGTAGAACTGTTTAAGCCTCTCCTCYAGCTCAGCTAAATCCTTGTGGTGCTGCTGATTTAACTTCTGCACAAATCCTTCATAAGCAGCTTGCAGCTCATTTCTGTCTCTCTCCAATTTCTCACAAGCTGCTGAAGTGGTTACTGAAGAAAAGAAAGTAATCGATTCACATTTAGCCTTTGACCCAGGCATTAGAGATGACACTCTGCACAACAGCATTATACAAATCTGATTTATATATAAATGAATGCTTCCTCCCTATTAAAAAATACTCTAAGATATTCATAAAAATACTGAATCTGCAGTTCAACACTTCTCAGGCAGAGCGTTATTTGAATCTAGAGTTACATGAGGAACCCATATAAAGAACACGAGTGTGCCAGTGTGTCATGATATAAAAGATGCATCAATGAATGTCTCACTGGAGACACTGGAGTGCTCTAATAAAAAAGGTAATTGGATTTACTGCTTCACCTAATTTGATCCCATCTCAGTAGTGGATTTCTCAGAGTACTTCAATTTAGCTAAGTGGTTTATACAGCAAAGAGTGGAGAGGCCTCTTGCCCCGGAGCCCATCCATTCAGCGGGCAGCTCCCGCCTCACGGGGAGATTGGGAGACACCAACACCCAAGCRCCAACCTGGAATGCACCAGGAGCACGCGGAGCCCCAGCGCACTGAAATGCACGAGATGTGGGATAGATTCAGGCAAAGCACAGTGTGGGGAGAAAAAAGGAAAATGCAATATCCACAACTCCATCCAGAAGGGTCTTAAGGCAGTCATTTTTCTACTGCTAACGGAGCTGCAAACAAACGTCTCGCACAGTTCCAGCTGCACCCAGGAGCCAGCAGCAAGGTGAAACAGAAGTCACGGCCATTGAATACCATAAGTAAATTGCTTATATCTCGCCTCTACTTTAAAATAAACAGATTAGCCAATATATATGTAAGAGAAAAATAACTGGAATGTTAATCTGATCTTGGATTAGATACAGCAGGAGAAGCCATACACACAAGCACTTCATAGCTGCTTGGCAGAGTGCCTGAACAGCGTCCATTTAAACTCTATATAAAAGCATGGCAAGATTCATGAGGTTCACGTACAGGCAACACAGGAAATCCTTAGCACAGCTCTGTCTAAGCCTTACGATACACACGCTACAAAACCTTCACGCACAGATTGCCCAATCTTTGCTGCCCCAAACTACCTGCTGGCCAGATTCCCACTTGGCTGAAGCTCGTCAAGAGCAAGTAACTGGGCACAAGCTACTTGCTCTCTGACTTGAGAAACTGTACCCAAGTCTTGGCTTTATGGCAGATCACCTGGAACCTGCMCTACCAAGTGTGAAAGAGCAGGATGCACCACGTGAAAAACAGCTTGAAAACCAGCTTTCACRAGCAGCTACCTGCACTAGCTGCAGAGGCCGAGGTTTGTGCTGGTTCTGCTCCAAAGGCTGCCGGGGGGACAGTTTTGGACAGAGCGGTTCGTGCCTTGGCAGGCAACAACGCAGCTAAAACCTCAACAAAAGCAGACCAGMACAGTCCCCGCAAGCTCGGCTCCATCACGGCTTTCTGTACGGAGACAGAGGGTGGGCACCAACAAGTGAGGTTTCTATTACGCTTTCTTTGTTCCCTCATTCAACTCCAACAATAACTGTTTCCTTTAGAAAATAAAACATTAGCATTCCCAATTCTACCACAGCACACTGGTGCAAAGYTGTTGATCCAGGTTTTGCACTGCGATGTTCTGGGGGAAAAGGGATCACTGTGGGACAAGGGGCTTTATGTTAGAAAGCAAAGGCAGAGAAGCAAACAGGCTGTTACAGTCGCCTGCAGCACTGACCGCTCACACACAGCGCTCAGGGGTGACTTGCTGAGAAGCCATCAGGTGCTCACTTGCCTCCTCTGAACTGACTGTAGCACAAACACTTTAAGCGACCCAATTCCTTTAAAAGGAAATCAGTCATCTGATTCTTCGTGTGTGAGGCCAGAGTCTCTTTGCCTCTGTCTGAAAGACTTTGCCTTCTATCATTTTTACCTTTAAGGTCAGGCGGCCAAGTATGCAGCGTTTGAGGTGCTGCCTAACATTTTACAGAACAGCTAAGTCAAACAACACACCACTCCTTTACTAAAGGACACAGTCGTGCTAGTTCTTGTTTGGCCAGTTTGCAAGTCAGATCTATGCGAAGACAAATAAAACCCAGCTTAAAACCTGTGCTGGAAGGTGCAGGCAGCAGTGCCGGCCTTCAAGAGCTGCCCTGCAGCCTGTGTGCCCGATCCCAGCAGGACACTGCGGAGTGTCCCGAGGGGCCCTGGCAGGAGCTCCCTGCACAGGGCACTGCCGGGGCTGCCCCGGAGAAGGCCGATCCCGACGCCGCTCCGGCCGGCGGAGCTGCAGTGCCTGTCCCCACACAGGAGCCTCACATGTGCAGCCAGCACTGCCCATCCACCTCCACCAGGAGCAACAGCAGTGACCTCATGGTGCCTTGGGGACRAGCCAGGAATAAAAGGCAAATAAATGCTCAAACTGGCCGCACAGCCACAGCAAGGGGACGGTGCCAAACTTGAGACGGACCGAACCAGAGCCAAGGACGATTCAAACTAAGAGAGGGTTACAAGCGAGGAGCTTCAAAGCTTCAAAAGCAGGAGCAGAGGGGTCTGTCACACACACACACACACACACACACACACACACACACACACACACACACGTCCCAGCACTCATCCAACTGGTCCCGAGTGTCTGCGCATCCTGGTGCTCCCACTCCTCTACGTGTTCCCCTGTGGATCCTCCAACTGCATGGGAGACCCAAACAGGAAGAAACAAACAGCTCAGGAGAAGCACTGGCCACTTACCCATTAAGTGGTTTCAAGGCCATCTGTAACATGAAGAGTTTTAAGCTCTCAGGATACTGATGAATGGCAGGGATGCTACACTTGGCAGCATTTACTTCAAGACCACTAATGGTTTGTCTCACTTGATTGTCCCAGCCAGTCAAATAACTTTCTCATACTCTGTTTTAGTAACAACAAGGACAGGTTTCATCCCTGTTTTTAGGCTGCCTAACACTTAATATATCATAAAGGAAGAATTTAACTCTTTTGGGGCAAAACCTCTGGCAATCACAGCAAACTTCTGAAACTGAGCAKCAGGATAGCTTCCTATCAGGAATGCCGTTCCTAACAGATTAATACTGTTGGTTAATTATTAAGCAGCCCCTGCAGCCTCGTGCCTCTCACGGCGGAGCTTTCCACGTAGCAGAGCCGTAAGGAGCGACGTAACCGGCCAGGCGGCAGCCGCCCGCGACCGCGCAACCTGTCCCGAAGCCCCGGCGCCCGCTTCCCGCCAGCGCTACGTGGGTTCTGCTCCCCAAAAGGCCACCAGAGCCACGGCTCCAACGTGAGCAAACAGCCGGGATTTTTCTTACTAAAAATTATTTTCAAAACAAATTTTCTTTATAAAATTGTCTAGCCTGGTCTAGCTGTGACCTAAGAAAAATATCTTAGTTTGTCCAGTCCACTTCTGATGCACAGTGCACTACAGCTAGCAGCGTTTTAATATGTTTAGGGGTGTGGAAAAGCAGTAAGCGTTAAAACAAGGAGTATTTTAAYGTGGTATTCTGTTGACGTGTGCAATATTTTATTGCTCCAACTTTATATTCMACACTGGAAGATTTATGCATAGGCTCCTTTGTAAGCCTGCTGGAGCCATACAAGCTCCTTACAGATATATATGTTTAATCTAATACTATACTCATGGTTTTGGCAGATTCTCTATGTTGGAATTTCTTCTGCCCGATCATTTTTATCACTAGGCTCCTCTGGACCTCACWTTTGGGATTAGTGGTAGGGTCGTATTTCATCTTCCTCCTCTTGGGCATGCTGAAGTGAGAGCATGCCCTAAGGTATAGGGTGGCACAYACAGCTCAATCCAAGGAAGAGCCTGATCTCTGGGAAAGGGAACTCTTCCTCACAGGAATAGCAAACAGACCTTTCCATCAGTTAAGCTTTCTTGAATATCATCATAACCTGAAAACCTGATCACATTCGCTCCATCCTTCCATCTTCTTATCCCAGCCTACGAAGCACTTGAAAAGTCACCTATTAASGAAGGGAACAAAGGGCCTTTCTGAGGGAGCTTTCTGGTGCAGCTGGCCCCGGAGGCGAAGCGGGAGGCGGCAGGGGATGGGTGCRGGCGCCCGGCCCTGCGCAGGGGCCAGCACCTGCCCCGGGGCGGCGCGTGGGCTCTGAAACCGCCTCCAGGGCAATTCCAGAGCCAGGCCTTTGCCTCTGAAGGAAACGCGCAGCCCTCGCCATTCCTACCAACCTCATTAAACAGGCAGCTAAAGATCCGGTGCAGTAGCTTATATATTAATAAGAAAAGAAAGAGGAGACAAATGGAGCCTTTGTATCTGCTCCAGCTTCCCAGGACAACAGCAGTCATRTCCAAAGCTTCTAGGCTTAGGTATCGCAGCTGAGTTCTGGAAAGAGCGGGTTCCCCTTGCCGGGGCGCGGATGCTCTAGGGACGGCCGGGGCTCCGCACGCACAACGGGCGCCCGCGGCTCCGCACCGGCTGCACGTGGTGCCAACCGGCACGTGCGGCTCCCGACACTGCCAGAGGCCCCACGGAGCAAGTTCAGCGGCACCCACCTAGTGATGGGCAGATGTAACAGATGTACCCCTCTTCTGCAGGGACGGCAGAAAGCCCATGAGCACGTGCAGCTATGCACAGCTGATCTGCAGCTTAGACTAAGGCCCAGAGTTCTGTTCTTATGCCCGGCTAAGTGAGGGTTGGCTCTTGTTGTTAAGAAAAACTTCAGGTTGAAGATTTGGATTGTTTTATTCCTTCTGGAAACAGGCTGCCCAGGCAGGTTGTGGAGTCTCCTTCTCTGRAGGTCTTCAAACCCCACCTGGATGCTGCCCCGTGCTCCCGTGCTCTGGGTGTCCCTGSAGGAGCAGGGCGTTGGACTAGGTGATCTCTAGAGGTCCCTTCCAACCTCAACCATTCTGGGATTCTGATTAACTCCATCGCCTCACATGTGCTGGGGAGAGACGTCTGGATAGGCTAGACGTGGGATGCCGTGAAGACATGGGAACAGCATGAAGATCAAGATAAAGTTGAAGATAACAAAGGTAAAACGGAGGCAGATGCTTCACGGGAACCTTGGCTTGGAGCCTTGGGAAGGGAGACGAGGCCGAGGCTGCTGCTGAGGTGCTGCCGGAGCCAGGACACGCCAGGAGCCCCTCAGACGGGGCTGCTGCTCCCGCCGTGGCCCTCGGCCCTCACAATCCCTGCGCACCAACGGGCTGCCGCCGCTTCCTTCCCAGCGCCCGGCGCGTGTCCGAGACAGGAGCCCACAGAGCGGCTGGGAACAGGGGCACAGCTAGGCAAGCTCCTGGGAAGCTCATCCAGGAGCCCGGCATCCTGAGAAGCAACAGGCAGCAAAAACCACTGGCTACTTTTTGGCCTAATCACTTAAGGTAARATTTCCTGTTTATTACGTGGCCAAGTGTAGTTATCACGGTGACAGAAGAAAACGCACAGGGAGGCTGCTGGAAAATTGCTCCAATGGGCAATTCACTAGCTTAAACCAGCTGGATTTCATGGTTCGCCACAACTACAAGAAACTGATTTCCACGCTACGACTCTCGGTTCGTGGATGTCCTTTTGCGGCAGCACAGAAGCACGGGCGGCTGCTGAGGAAACACACGGACCCTCCTGCACCACGTGCACCGCTCCGCTCCTTCCCTGCCCACACCAGCAAACAAAGCTCCCMAAAAGCTTCTTTTAAAAGCAAGGCTCCAAGTTGGACTAGAGTAACAGCGACRAGCAGAGAAGCCAAGCTCAGCTGGTGGAGCTGTGAGGGACCCCCCTGCCAAGCTTCCCGTGCTCATCAGCTGCCAAGGAATACCCAGGTTAATCAGGGACTGGAAAACCAATCTGGAAATCAAAAGCAGCAGCTGCACCTCACCAAACCTGCACTCACATCCAAAGCTTGGCCAGGACCATCCATACTCAACTTGTGAAGCATGTGAAAACAAACATTCCCACTTCCCACTGATAAATGACATATCTGAAACCGCTCCACACATATTGCTTCAGTTCAAAACTTATTSTATTTTTTTAAAGGAGCCTCATCCTAAGCATGCTTTTATAAAAGGTTATCTGCACTTTCAAGCGCAATCAATTCCAATTCAAAGCCTTGCTGKGCTCCAGCAGATTGTGCTGCTTTAAGTTCAAGATACACACATTAACATTCARCGCAGTTAAACCAAGCTTCCAGTTGGCACAGCCTGTCCTTGAACCTCATAGCTCAGCTTCATAATGTAGCTGCCCACTGGGATGAATCCAAAGATTTCATCTCATTAGTCTGATAGCTCTTCCTTCTGCTAATTTCACACTCATTCACCTCCAAGCCACCAGAGCAGAAGTGCCCGTTTTGTGCAGTACACGGCACAGCTTTTGGRGGTTTTGCCAACAGGTCTCCAGAAACAGCACAGAGGATTTAGGARCCAGAGACACGGGCACTCCCGGAAGCACCGTGGCACATGCCATGGGGGGCTGGCCCCTCGGTGCAGCCCACAGCAGCAACGGGACAGCAGCCACCCCCCAGACCTACATTTCACTCCATTTTATTAGAACGAGGAAAGCAGATCCTCACCCAGCTCTCCTCGGAGGTTAACCAGCTCTTGGGATAGCTCCTTGTGCTGCCTTAGTGCGTCATCCYTCTGCAAAGAGAAAACATGAGCATTTGGTTAGTAGTGGTGCAAAGAGGGCACTTCCCCAGCTAACTCRCAGGAAAACAGCAGGCAGGAGCAGGCGGCCAAGATATGAATCACATAGCACAACAGTTCTGCTGTTACCAAACACACAGATGTTCCCCTGTCGTTAAGGAAGTTGTACTTTAAAGCAAGGAACAGTGTTTTCCAGGATAACGCTGTAACCYGAAGTCCTGCTTGGCGGCATTAATGGCACACTTGACGATGGGTGCGGCGGCCCAGCCAGCAGGACGGACCGACCCCACGGCGCCCGGGGCAGGGAGCGCAGCAAGCGCCGTGGGGCGCTCGCCCCACAGAGCGCCAAGCCAGAAACTCGGCTGAGACCCCGAGCGTCCCTGCAGGAGAGGCGCAGCCGGCCCGAGCCGAACACGACACAGCCGGCCCCGAGGCGAACACGGCCGGCCCGCTCCTCCCGCGCTGGCCGCCAGCTCCCGCAGAGCGGCGAGAGGCTGGTGGGCGCCGCGGCCGAGCCYGAGCCCCCYGCTCGGCCCGCACGGAGGCCCCTGRGCGCGGGACAGGCCCCGGGCGCCGCGCGGAGCCGCTGCCGTTACCCTCCGCGGAGCCGCCGTTCCCCTGGCCGCGGCGCACTGGGAGTAGAGGCAGAGCCTGCTGGGGGAGCAGCCCATGGTGCGGCGCGCGGAGCCGTGGCCGGGACGCGCTCCCGCAGCTCCCGCAGGTCACCCCGCTCCAGCCGCCTGCTCCCAGCCGATCCTGCAGCTCCTGCAACTGGCACAGGCGGCCGGCGGCTGCTTAAAGCCACAGCCCTTCATTTAGGAGCCGGCGGCCAGCCCGGGCGCGAGCRCGGAGATCCGGGTGCGCGCGGGTGTCAGCGCAGCCACAGCGCCGCCCCCGCGGATAACGGCGCTTATTTTTAGCCTGCACTCTTAACTTGCGGGGCCAGAAGCAACGACGGGAGGCCTGAGCTGCAAGGAAGAGCCCCGAGCTGCAAGGAGGAGCCCCAGGCGCACGTCGGCCGCCGCGAGSGGCCAGGCTCCGCTCGCTGCCCCTTGCGCCCTCAGCCCTTGGGCTGCACCAACCTCCAGCACTGACCAGGCCACCTCCTGCAGCCACCACACGAGCCGCTCCGGCAGCACCGAGGCGGCCGGGTGCTCATGGAGCAAAAACACACAGCGGTGCCTCCATCCCAGCTCCTGCAGACCGAGCCCAGGCTCCTGCTGGCACCTCCGCACCCAGCAAGGGCACCCCCTGCTCACCCCCCAAGTTCTGACACACACTGCTCTGAGGGAAGGCGAGAGTTAAGGAGCAGCCACCGCTCGYGGTCCCCTTTGCATCTGCCGCTGCACGGCTGAAACGCTGAGATCTGATTAACCTGCTTCCAGGCTGACAACTTGTGGTGGGTCAATACCACTTTTATGGAAGACTAATCAAAATGAATAAAGCTATACACCCTGTAGGTGATGTAAGTGGTAGGAAACTATTCTGCAGATAGAAGATAGGGCACAAAATTCTTGTGTATTTGACCTTGTAGACCTTAAAAGGTCTACTCTTCACCACTGCAGTTTAAGCAGTCCTAGCAGCACTTACTTGATCACTGGCACACTGCAAGGGACAGTTGTTAGTTGTGTCACAGCTTTGTGGTAAACACCCCAACATTTTTGCAAGGCTGGGTGGGCTGAGATGCAAAGTCACCCCTTTCCTACCACAGCAGAGCCTCAGGAGAGCAGAGCACTCAGTTCTCCACAAGAGTCACCTTCTTTCCCCCACTCCCGTGGCTGGGAAGGAGATGAGTCATCCTGCTCGACATCAGTGCCCACACGGACACGGCACTGATGAAACGGTGGATACTGCAGCAGGATATTTGAGCTGCATCACTTGCACTGTGCGCACTGCCAAACAGGGAATCTTTGAAGGACTCCACTATATACTTCTGACATCTCAGACATCTGATAGGATTTTCCAGAGCTTTTTCAATAACTTTCTGCATTACTATGCTAGCTTACAAACACACTAAGCAAATAGTTTCCAGGATTTTTCTTCTCTTTACTTCTTAAGTTGCATRTTCATTCTCTATGCTAACTCCTTCATTAAAAATGAAACAAAAATATCTTTCAACCTGATTTGTTCCACCTAACCAGTCAGTAAAGCATATCTCATGTTTCCTCCTCCAGCTCTGCTGGACAGTTGCTTAGAGCTGTAGACCCACAAGGTGATGATGAAAAGAGATGATCTCAGATGAGGATATACTAAAGACTGACCTGAGACTAAAAAAAAAAAAAAAAAAAGGAATATTGTTGCTCTACCACTTTTTTTTTTTTTTTGAAGGCTTTTTGCTTTGTACTGCTCTTAATCCTTTTTGCCTTTTCTTGGTGCTGCTTAACCTCATTGCTCCACCTCCAATCATGAAAGGACCTATTCAGACGAAAGCAGTCAGTCACAAGGGCTGTCAACCTCGAATGGGAAGAACCAGTTGGTCACGTAACTGCCAAAGGAGCCACATGAAATGCAGTCACATTAAGTTGCCAGACTGATCTATGTTGCAGTTAATTTAACATGACCTAGCCAGGCTTCTGACAGAAGTGAGGTTCTAGATGCGAGAATCTCCTCAATTAAATTTCACATCTTGAAAACTTGACAGTTTAATTGCAATGAACTACCAAAGACCACATACTCCAATCAACACCACCTCACCACCCTCAACATTTCTTCTGAAGACTTGTATGAACATATTTTCAATTAGAATATCAAACCACTTGGCTTTGTGCGCATGGACTTCTAGTCCATGTTCTACAAGTTTATAGCTGAAAAATCAAAACTAGAGGTCAAACGAACAAACTCAAGCAGCAGAACACMACAAAGAGCAATTTTGTCAGCGTTCTCTCTAGATATATTTGGCAGTAAAAGAAAGCCAATTTCAGCAGTATTATCCTTGCTTAGTTGTTGAAGACTCAAAGAGGACATTTATATCACATTACAGYAATGTCTGGAACAATTCCAGTTCATGGCCAACTACCATATAGACGATTGGTACCCACTTGTCTTATATCACAAGAAAYTGTATTGCTGTTGCAAAAGAAATTGGTGTTGTAGCAGCATGAGAAACCATAGCACTTCAGCCAAGACAAACCTGGAAACCATAGTCTTAGCACTATAAAAACTGAGTTTGGGGACAGTAGTGTTAAGGCAAACCAGTGCCATCAGATGCTACCAGAACAGTTTTCAAGCACAAAGCAGGAGACTAAGATTTCTTAGGTTTACGCTTTTTGAAAACTTGACCAGAAACGCCAGGATGATGTATGCAATCAATGCAATATGTATGCAACAGCAAGGGCATTGGCAAGGGCGAGTTATGCCCCTTACAACTTGATGGAAACATGAAAGCAAAAGCAGAGAGGCCCAAGGCAGAGAGGGGTAGAGAAGACAACGGCTTCAGGAGCACAAGGATGACAGTCAGGAATAGAGTAAATTAGAGAAATCTTCTGTTCATATTTGTATTAAAGGCAGGTACGTGGGCAAGTTAAGAGGCTTAAGAGCTGTTTTTCCTGGCAACGAGCTATATTTGCTGTAGCTTGAAATTCAAGCAGGCCCAGCCTCGTGCCATTTTGGGGTGAAGGCACATCCACGGCTGGGCGGTTGGCACTGCACTGCTTTACCAGTGGGAAACCCAACAAAAGTCCAAGCTCCAGAAGGCACAGAAAGGTATTTACACCACGCACACAAGCGGCCAACCTTCCTGGCCACTTGCCTTCAACAAACCTTCACACGAGCAAGAGAAAACTCACCTCAAAGAGCACAGATTACAAATCATTCCCAAGCGGGAACACCGAGGTATTCCCTAACATCCCACAGCTCCACCGCAAGTGGAGCTCCACTGCAAGCTCCACCCTTCTGCAAGTACCCGGTGTCAAAGGCCAAACTGCAGCAGGAGACAGGCAGAGTGCAAGTATCTCAGGCTAATGCTGCCCGTCGGCCGGCAATTATCCATATTTCATCGTTTACATCCCAAACTTACTCCTTTTAGAAATGACATTCTTATCCTGCTGCATGTTGTTGTTGAAATGCATGAAACAAGAAAAAATTCCTTAAGASCAGATACTAAAAAAGAAATGCCTTACCTTTATGTACTAAAATATTAGGTTTTTGAAATTAACTTTAAGTACCTGTATGAATATCCATGTGATAAGCTCTTAAATAGTTACCTGGCCCACACTGTGCAGCCTATCTCCTCCTGCAATACTACTGACCCATTTCAGACCTCTGAGCAAGCACCAAGTAACTGCCACTTAGCAAGACGCCCAGGGACCTGCTTTTCCTCCTCAGATTCGTGTTCCCAAACCTTCCCGAGAGCTGTGCTCACAGGAAGCCTTTCAACGAGCAGGAGGTTATGGCAACGGGTCTGCACCACGTCTTGGGAAACACGCTGCTCTGCGTTCGGAGTGCAGCAGACCCAGCTGGGTTCCAGCTCCTCAAGTATCCTGGGATGGCGGGTGGCCCATCCCGGAATGCTCTCCCTGTGAGCAGAGGGTGCGAAGGGCTCCTGTGATGCCGCTACGGAGCTGCTGCTCCTGCCAAGCCACCCAGGGCAGGATCCAGCTCCAAGGCCGGCCTTCCCAGCGGGATCCAGCTCTCGGACRGATCAGCCTCCTAGTTTCACTGCTAGTATACTTGAAAAACTAATAATTTCAAAAATCAACACACATGTGGTRAAGGTAAAGAGTCAGGTGCAAAACCACTGCAATTTTAATAAGGAATTATTAGACCATCCTTCATTAGAAGTCCCAAAATAGAAATTCATTAGTGCAGCARAGAAAGCGGTGCTTCCATGTGTTTTACGATCATACACAGGGGTCAAGTTAATTTTATTCTGCAAAGGGAAGGCCAGATTTGAAAGCCATTTGCTTCTATTTACTCTAAAACAAAACAAAAAACCACATAGACCTCAAACAGACTCAGAGAAACATGGAGTATTCTAAAGAAAATAATAAACCAGG